TTGAGTAATCGGATTGGTTCGAGTGGCATTCGCTGAGGTCACGTTGAGAAATCCCAAAGTCTCAATAATTCCTGAACCACAACGTGATGCAATCATGCTGTGAAGGGGACACATCGGCCGCATGATTTGAATAGAGACGTAGATGCCCACTCCTTTTTTTTCAGAACTGTGCCCTTTTGTGATGTGTTTGATGCATTTTCGTTTGCGTGGCACCCCTTCCACCAGAAAGTGAATGACCGCAGCATTATGGAGGCCTTGGTATGTGATTTAAAATTGACACTGTTGCCGCTCATAAGTTTCATTTCAACCCCATGGCAGCCCAACTTCACCATATTCGAAAGTAACAAGTCGTCCTTTCTGGGAACCAGGCCGAAAAATTCAACAAATTTGCAAAAACCTGTCGCTATACCGATAGATGTAAACAAGGCGCTCAGAGTTTCAACGTATTTCTCGAACACCTTTTCCCCACTTTTTAAACACGTTTCACCCACATGTTGAGGCATATACATTGAAATGCGTTCTTTAATTTTTTTTTAATACTAAGCGGATGTTTCACAAAGCTCACCGTGTGCCATGGAAAAGCGTTTAGCATTTAAACACTTTCCTAAACTCATTTCAATAAACATACCATTCGTTAAACTTGTTCAAAACGTGGAAATAGGAGGGGCAATGCTGCTTTCACTGTGCACCTTTGAATATTGGGTTCTAATTTAAAAGAGACTTCGTTTCATCACAAACCAATGTAACCTCGAGGTTTTCTTCCTGGAATGGCATGATATAGTTCTGCTCGTGAATATGGAAATACATCAGCATTAGAATCGAAAGGGCAGCCAGTACCCTTTAAAAAGTGAAAGCAACACCGAAAACGATGTCAAGTGAGACACAATGGTGAAGTTTGGCGCGGAGAAAAGCGCGTTGCATGCAGAGACCGAGTGATTTCTGGGAAGAAACTTGCGGCCATGCAGTTCGGGATGTTTGCTTGCCTCATGCACATCCCTCATGGAGTCATAAAAATAGAGGTGGCAACCGAGGATGTGCGGTGATTATAAATAAATTCAGGCCTGTCTAAAACGGCTTTTTAGGGTTTTCTTTGGTCGAGGGAGATTCATGGTTAGAAGAGCGAATTGGGCGATTGTTGCAGTTCCCACGTAATATATTGTGCTTTAATGTGAAGGCTTAATTAATTGATTTTTTCGAATGAATAGATTCATACTACCGTCGAATAACACAGCTATTGCACCAACAGACGTAGTGCACGAGGAACACGAGGCAGCGTGTAGTGCATTTTATTTCACGAGTGTATATATCGTCATAACGGCAACAAAGAGACGGCCGCAGCGCGTGCACGTGGCGCGAAGATGACCCATTGTATTGGCGTGTCCTTTTATATACATGTACATACATATATACATTATATGAGGATGACCATAAAGGATTTTTATCCCTTTTCCCTGGCTTCTTCATATTGAAGGCGCACAAGAATTGAATAGAGATGGCCTTGCCGCGGAAGCCCGTGGTACCCGGAGATAGAGCGGTGTCACGCAGGGTGCAGTGAGGAGCTGCGACCCCACGGCTCGCCTAAACTGCAACGGGCTGGTTGCTTCTTCTCTCACGAGCAGTTTATTAACAAATTGACTTTCAAGGATCAAACAAGACACCTCTTTAGATACGTTGCAGCTGTTGCAACTACAAAGAAATAACCAAACCATTCAATTGTCTGACGTTTAGTATAATTTTAGAGATCAGTTCAGGCCGTGTGGTTACTTTATCTGGTCCTTGGTCTATCATGCTTTATCTCAGCAGGCCTGCCAGCTTCTATTTGAACCTCTTTCGAGTTCGTAATGTACTACAATATTGACGACTGAATTTTAGCAACTAAAACTTTGCAAGCATCACTTTTTTGTCGGCCTGTCGGTAAATCTGAACTGACACGAGAGAGACCTAGTTAATCTTATCATTTCATAACAATCGTCCTTATTGACGGCCTCAAAGAAAAAAATTACCAAGCCCATTTGCAGACAATGCTTTGGTCGCTTCGCAAAGTCGCTACTCATATGCCGTAGTGGAGACTCCAAACGATTCTCCCTAGTTGGCTGGTCGGCTTTGTCTTGCGCTGCGCAATGAAACTCCGTCCTGACGGACCGAATACTCAAAAAAAAAATTCAATAGCATTCGTGACTCTGAATTGAAGCCAGCAAAGGGAGGGTTTCTCACCCTTCTGTGTTTAGCTCAGTTGACAATTTCCTGCTGTGGCCCTGGAATGCCTTTAGTTTCGCCGTTGTGTACTTTCAGTAGCACGCGGTGGAAGGGGGAGGAGAGTAGGGGAAAATGAGGTGTGCCGAAGTTGGCAATTTCGGGCCCTGGATTTGACGTCCGTGGCCCCACGGGGATGCGGCTGGGAGACGTATATCCTGGGCCGCGTTGCTTTCAGCCCTCCATGTTCAAAAGCGTTTTTTTTTTTTAAACTCTCTCCTTGGGGGCTCTTCCCCTTTCGAGTCCGACCTTTCTATTATCCGCTCCGCTTCGGCATCGAGAATTACGCATTTACCCTTCTGGCAAACGGTCTCCCTCCCTTCAGAATATTTTTCTCTCCTTTCATTCTTCAAAGAAAGGAGAAAAAAGGGTGCACATTTCTGGAGTATTCACTCATAGAACTCAAACCTCTTTCTGTTTGTGCTCGCTCGTCGGAATCGAGGGCCATACAGCGAACTTCTGAATTTGGGGGGGGGGGGCGGGAGTGAGCAAGAAAAGACTCCCTTGCGACAGGTCTTACCGCCGCCTCGGATCAATACAAGCATCTATAATGACCAGCCTGTGTTTGCACTCGCCATTGATTGAATGCACAAAAGCATCCTAAAGTCCTGTGCCCTCCTTGAAAACCCTTTGCTCCCGGGCTTCCAACTTAAGACTTTAAGCCCCGAACCGGTAGTGTGCTTTTTAAGAAGTTGGAAGGGAAAAAAAAGTGGGGCACGCGCACGGTAAACCAGTCGGTTCACCAATCGATTAGTTTTGTTGTATTTGAAAGCCCCCCCCCTGAATCAAAAAGTATTCACTCGGCTTGGGGGTTTAACTCAAAGACGTTGTGGATACGCCCGTAGGGGGTGGCTTGCGAGGGGTCAGCGGAGAGAAAGCGCTTAGCGGCCCGCCTGCATCACAAGGGGCACTCGATGCATGCCGGCACAACTGCCCTCGGTCAGGCTGATGTGGTTAAAGGTAGCACGCGAGCCTACCCCAGAGGTTGAACGACCTACTCCAATGCCATTTTGTCGCAAGGCAACTTTGTAATCACTCAACTGCTCGCGTAAAGATGCTGAACAAGTTGTCGGCAAAATACGTAAACACGAAAAGAGCGACAGGAGCCAACATTCATGCAGTCACACAGGGCGGGACTCGTGGAAAGGAGGCCCATAACTGAAATGCGCCTTCAGCAACTGTCTTAAAATGTATTGGGTTCAATCTTGCCTGTGCCGCACGCTCTACGAATTCACTTCAATTTTGGGAAAGCTTTTCTTCGACCGATCTCGTGAACCTTTTTTTATGCATTGCTTATCCAGCCACCTGTCCATCATACAGACCCGCGTGTGCCATCGTTTCAAACAATCTTCGATCGTCGGAGCACCGTTTGAAAATTCATGAACAAATCGGTGGCAAAAATTCATTCGGACGCTGAAAAGGTGCTGACCAGAACTGCCCTTGTTTTGAGGAAATGCGCTGATCATAAATCAGTGGGGGCGGCATGGGGTGCGGGCTGATCTAATTTCTCGCCTTTTTGTCTCGCGAGTTGCGACTACGGGGGCTTGAAAGGGCCTGCTTTAACGGGTGTGCCGTGTTGATAACGCTCTGTGGTATCATGGTGGAGCACTCGTTCAAAATTAACACCACGATTCTTTAAGCTAAGACACAATATTTTGAGTGACACTGGTCAGCAGGTACGCCAAAATGTACACGTTTCTGAGGTAGCACTGCTCCAACCGCCGCGCCGTGCACCAAACTTAGCAGCCTTTTTCCCCTCGCCTCGATGAATCAGAAACAAACCGATCTATAATGGAACGCCGGTCTTGGGGGTGGATAGTCGGCGCTCCGCTTTTGTCAGAACCAGCGATCGCCTGAGGGGAAACCCGTTTTCGTTGCTGGTATAATAACAGTAAGCGGATCATCGATAGCACCTCATGCAATGAGTTTGCCTCCATTACTAAATGTGACTGGTAGACCTATCGTGGATCGATGCAAGACAGGCTACCCTTGCTGTGATGCAACAACCCCCTTTTTTCTATCTAAAATGTCAGACCTGATCGAAAGTCTAAATGTTGGACCATTCTGCGTGGGCGTGACGATTTCGCAAGTATAGTCAAGCACGGTCACTTTAAAGAGCTCACGTCAAGAAGTATCCTGACCTAGCGTCCCCTAAAGACGACTACAGCAGGGTATCTGATACGTTGAATGAGTTCACACGTTTCTCACGAGAGCATCCAGTCCTAATTGCTGTAAAATTATGCGGAAATGTGAAGAGCAAAAGACTGCGCTCTGATCGGTATGGTCGAGAGTTGTCAAAAATACCCATCCTTGTGTTTCCTTGGTTTCTAATGGTTTTTGTTATCATAAACTGTACTGCTCACGGAAACCAATAGTTGTTCGAACTGGAGGCAGTCAAAAGTCTTTAATTGTTAGTACAGCCTGGGGCTAATTTCATAGCTGCTTAAGCACAAAATTTGCTTAAGCGAAAAAACCTTGCTTAAAAAAACGAAAGTCAGCAGCTCAAAATCTACGTGATCGTCATGCGAACCAAAAGACAGGTGAATACCGTTCCAAAACAATATATATCACATGGAGTTTTGGCTGGTAACCTGATTTGTTTCTTCACGCTTAAGCAAATTTTGTGTTTAAGCAGCTCTATGAAATTGGCCCCAGGTCTCTCAAGAAATACAATAAGTACGAACAGTACTTACAGATTGGGTTATTTTTTAAACAATTGTTTGCTTTTGATTTGTATGCAATTTTAGATTCGGCTAAGTCGACTCCATCGTTGGGGGAGGGGCCACTACCAAGCCTTTTCAACCCGCCTCTCGCTCCCGTGGACGCCATGATGGACGGGTACCAAGACTGCATGGAGGAGACCATCCGCTACCTGGTGCAGGTCGAAGGGTTCCCTCCCAACCACGACATCATCATCCGCCTGAGGGCGCACTTGATCCAGTCCCAGAGCAAGCTGGACTTGAACAACCAGCTACGGACCAGTCAGGCGCGGCTGACCCTCGACCAGTATTATGATCTGCAGCAGCAACAGCAGCAGCAACGCCAACACCATCATCACCGAGCGGGGCAGCAGTTCGCGGCCGCTGGCTCGACTCAAACCTCCCCCCAGCTCGCCCACACTAACGCCTGCGCTGCCTACCCGCCCGGGTCGGCCCTGCTGGCCCGCAACGGCACCCCCGCCCAGGAGGCCCTGCACTCCAAGACTGCACCGGGCCAGGCGAGCCTGTCGCAGCTCCCGCTCGGCGTGATGACCCCCCTGACGGTGGACACCAATCAGTATTACGCTATGCCCTCCCCGCTGGCCCACTGCCTGTCGGAGGGCGCCCTCGCCCGGCAGGGCTCCGCCGAGCCCCTGCTGACCATCGCTAGAACTCTGCCCACGAACTCGGGAGCGGCGTTCAGTGCCCGTGGCGGTGGGCCCACAGCCGTCACGTGCAGCAACAGTACCGCGGGCAGAACTGCGCCTAGGGGTGGGACAAACCCCAGGACAGAGCAGCGCCTAAGTGTTCAGAGTATAGCGCCCTCTGTGGCCAGCAACGTATCTGGGTCACACCTCGGGTTCAACTTGAACTACGATGCCCCCTATCTCGTTGCCTTTGTCCGACCAGCAGCTCAGTAATTTTTACCGACGAGGAACCGCTTTGTATTCTCCCTGACGAATTTACCTCAGATAGATTGACTTTGTGTTGTTATAATTATCATAACAGTAATACATGTAGGAGATCAAGCAGTAAGATTAACCGGAGTAGGTAGGGGTGTCAATCCTGGGGGAG